GAATCCCAGTCGCCGCCGCTGTCACCACCACCGTCGCCGAGGCGATGCGAGTCTTGAGGTGGGGACTTAAAGGCCGAGCCGCAGTGGTAGCCCTCGCCGTCGCCGCCGCCGTCGCCGCCGCCGCCGCATCCGCTTGGTGGACAGGTGAGAGTTGTCATTGGCTGGCACATTCTACTATCCTCCTCCACAAACGGTGCGATGACCCAGCGGCGGCAACACCTGAGGTGCGCCGCAATTTGCGGAGGAAAAATACGTCACAGCCTCTTCTGGACGAGAGAAGCTGGGAACCGAAATCAACTTATTGCGTCGGATGCGACAACGACTCGGAGTATCTTACTAGATAGAGAGTGTGAGAGAGAGAGAGAGAGAGACAGCACCAGGGGCTGACGATGGCGCAATGCGATGAACCGGCAAGACGGGCCCGAGAATCAAAGAGTGCGGATTTGAATCGAGGCTGAACATATCATATAACATCGCCTCGTATCACACGATGGGGATTGTGGGCCTTGTTTGATAGCCAACGGGAACGGGAACGGCGTGAGTGGACTGTAACACACCGAAGGTGACTCGCCAACGGCGGGTGGAGGGAGAGGCACCCGCACCGGCGCACGCACAACGAAGATGTCTTATGGTGCTGTTCTATCTCTACTCAGGCAGTGGTGAGTCACCTCGAACAGCCAATAGTGATGAAGCTTGAAACCCTCACGAAGGACCGCTTGCACGGCGGTGCAGATCGAGCGGAAAGTGTCCTGGGGGAGGGGAGGGGTGCGACGAATATGGTCTGGGGACGGCGGGCGCGTGCGACGATGGTCTGGTCTGGAGTCAGATATTTTTGTTGACACTGTTCGGACATTATGGCGTGTACAAAGTGCTGCACAAACTCGACGTTGAATCCTGACGGTTGGAAACTTTGATCCGAGGGTGGAAATTCACCGACGTTGCTCGACGTCGAGTTTTTGCGCACTTTACAATGCGAGAGGGGCCAATGGTGGTGCTGTTCTGAATGAGACCCTTGATGCGAGCAAACGGTAGCTTCTTGGGGAGGGGGATAAGGGAACTTTGAAAGGAGGGCAAGTGGGGGGGAATGGGGGGCGGGGAAGAAGGGGAGAGGGGGTAGGCGGAAGAAGAGGGGACGAGGCACGCAAGACATGAGAGCGTCCAGTCCACCAACGTGAAATTTGGGTGCGAAAGAGAGAGGGAGAGGAGAGAAGCGCAAAACTGAAGCCAGGATACAGTGCACATGTGGGATCTTGGGGGATGTGAAGCAATGGAGGGAGGAAGAGACAAAGGTGATGGGGGAAGATGGGATGGGAGGGGAACAGTGACGATAGCTCGCGAACTCTGGCGAGCTGTACACATTTTCGTGTTTCCAGTTCGCCACCTGCTTCCTTGCCCAATCTTTTCATCCGACCGTCACTGCTCCTCGTTGCGACCAGCAGACATGCGGCTCGCTGAGAAAATCTCGCCGGCTTCAGGGAAATTGTGCGAGTTTCATGACTCCCACACGATTCGCACATTCTTCCCCACATTCCTTTGCAGAGATTTGTCGCATCGCCCCCGAAACGCGAGTTGGAGGTAATGTCCACGCATGCAATGTCCACACGATTCTGTAAGGGCGTGTCTGAAGTGCAAACGTCGAGTTTCGTCAACTTTCGTCGACGAAACTCATCCGTGGGTCCCACGCGTTTTGCTGTCTGAAGTGCAGCTCGACATCCACTGACGAAACTTGGCGTTCGTACACTCGTCGGTGGATGTCGAGCAGTCCTGTCGGTCAGGTTTTGTAGTTACTGTTGCCATCGTGGGCACCTAGAATTTCGTCAGCCACGTCAGGTCAACATTGATCCACTCGATCGCAGTCACACCAGTCAATGTCTGCGTATTTCAAATTCATCAACACGTCAGCTACTAGCTGACCTGTGATCGTCAGAATATGCGCGCAAACAGTGCTTGGGATCTGCCACGATGTCAACGAAATTTGGGATACGAGAACCCACGCCACATGTTGCGCCTCGTATCAATTGAAAAGATTGACGTGCAAAATGAGAACAAGATTGTTCAGCAAGAGTTGTTCGTGAGAGCAAGATTGAGGTGCAACATTGGTGCAAGAATCCTTCCCGACACATCTACTACTAGTTCTCCATCCATTAACAACTATCTTCATTTCATTAACTTCTAAAGAACATGTTTCTTGATTGTTACTTAGTGCTATCACAGGTGAATTAGTATATGCGTTTTCTCCAAACCGAGATACACAGTATGTCGTCTCAAGACAACGAGCTTGGTGAGGGATCATTTACTCCAGTGAACAACTCAAATGATGTCCCGACGCAAGAATCCACTACTAACCAACGAGTTGCTGGAAATGCGGCTCCAGGAAACGCCCCCCCTCGGATTTCATGGTTGAATCGCCTGCCGCGTCCAGACGCGGAATTGACCGATGAGGACCTGCTAGCAAACTTCTTCCCGGATGACGAGGGTGGTGTTGATGACGATAATCGTACAAATCCCCTCCATCAATTTTCAGTCTTGCTGGAGAATTCTCAAAGATCCTAGAGTCGTTGACTGATCCTGCCCAGCCAACAAAGTAGTCCCATATTTTTCCGCATGCGTCTACTATCAATTGTAGAGTGATAGCAAACTGTCCCTTTCTGTTACGATAGTCAATCTTGTGTTCCCCTCCGACACGGACCTGAATAAATGTACCATCTAGTGCTCCAACTATGCCGGGTATACCACCTATAGCTCTAAATTCTTGCTCCATCCGCACGAGCTCGTCTTGTGTAGGCCACGATACCCACTTTGGTGAAAGAACATGGATTACGTGATCCACAAATTTCTCGCATATGAATGAAGCCTCACACCGACTGATTCCATAAACTTCTGACAACATTCGATAGCTCCAGCCGTGGCCCAAACGATGTATAGCTGCTGCTAGTTTGAGCTCTGGTGGTAAGGTCCCATGACTATTACGCGACATTACAGCTCGGTAGCTGCGCAACAAGTACCTGAATACATGTTTTTCCATCCTGAATACATTGTAAAACTGCTCTGGACGAGATCGGCGCACAAACCCTAGCCACGTCTCCCTGGCCGCCAGCATCTCCTTGCGGATATTGAGCCGATCAGATTGGAGAAACAACAGGTAAGTCACTTCACTAAGGATAACTTCCAATGCCTTTACAAATGGCCGCAAGACTAGCTCAAAATAACCATGCCGCAACCAAGTTAAGATGAGTAGTAACTGCAATACATCCATGTCTGATATGGTCTGACGAAAATTAACTCGTTGAACCTAGAGGAGTCTTGGAGTCGGAATGTTATGTGCCTGCTACGTTTGCGGATGACGAATGGTTTCAAATGTCTGCAATGGAAGAAATAGTCCTAGGGTTTGAAAGAGTGGGCGTGGAATTTCTTGACCCATGTGTCCAGATTTCTCAACGAGGCGCCCTGCAATTGCACGCATGTCAAACTCTCAACTGTGCAGAACTGGACAGACTAGTGTGTGACGAAATCCACGACACAAGCAGGTGCCTTTCGCTATTCGTATCCACGTTGGCATTTTCGGGCAGTGGAAACAGTGGCGAAATTCGCACATGCTGTTTTTTTGTCGTTTGGGTGTCTGAAGTGCAAAAACGGGAAAACGGATGTCGAGTTTCGTCAACTTTCGTCGGGATTCGTCGACCAAACTTTCGTCGGCGAACGTCAAAATTCACTTCAGACACGCCCTCAAGTCACCGAGCGGATGAAAGGGGCTCGTGAGTGGCGATTGGACTGTTTTCCACAATTGACGGAGCAGTAAGCAGCATCTTAGGAAGTTTCTGCTTGAACTGTTTCAAGTGCGTGCATCTACGTACTATTTTGGCTAGATGTTACAACTGCACTCTGCGACAACACTTTGGCGGTGACAAAGGTACAGTAATCGAAGACATCAGCATTTCATCAGCCATGCTGGCACATGAGCTGCTGTCGACGACAAGAATACGTACATGTTGCACATGTCAAACGAAACTGTACTCGAACATCTCTGTACCTTGCTGGCGTTTCACAAGCGCTCCGACAAGTTTCACACGCTTGTCGGGTCAATAACTTTTGGCGAGCTGGCAGCAGCCAGCTCGGCTCGGCAGGTTTGTTACAACAGCCTGCCAACTTGTGATCGTTGCAAGTCAACGAGACTTCATTTGACCAGAAAATGCTGCCCAGTACGATAGTACAGTATGGAGACCATTGCAAGCTTTGTGCGTTATATGTTACGTTCGAAGCACAATAAAGTATCCTTCCGTTAAAGCATTTCAATCTGTTATCACAGCCCCAGAAAAGGATACCATTCTCCCGGGAATAACTAAAGGAGCGACAAGAACCCAGAGATACACAGCTCCTGAAAACCACATGATTCCCATTTTCACCCAGGTGCTAGCCCAGCCTGTATCCAAGCTCCATTGAGCTGGATTTTGTTTCAAATCCCACCCGATAAAAAGCATTGTCATGTACATGGTTCCTGTTAAAAACACAAAATGGTAGAACCCGTGTCCGTACGACACTTTGCCGTTCCCCGCACCCTCCACATCCTCCCCGGAGTTTGGATGGAGTGAGATGCACCGCCGGTCAATCCCCACAGTGTAAACGGAAACTAAGATCGTGAGGAGAGCAAAAATGAACGCCTGTTAGGGGCAACGAGCATGTGAGAGGGGGGAAGAAACAGGTAAAGGTGAAGAACACAGCAGAAGAGACGCTGCATCGGGATAAGCGTTCATTCTTCAGCACTGCCACGAGTCCGGACAGAATTAAAACGAGAGGAGAAACTAAGATTGCCATGAATGTTTTTTAGGCGCCTCAAAAGTCGTCCATTCTTCAGCACTGCTGGGACGTTCAGATGAAAGTGACAGCGAGGAGCGGAACTAAGTTGTGTGTGAAGGACCGCTAATTTCGCCATAACATCTGTCTGTGTCAAAAAGATAGCGAGGAGAGGAACTAAGATGGGTGTGAAGGACCGCTGAACTCACCATGACATCTGTCCATGTTGTTTGCCCTGTCTGCCTCGGGCGTGTGTTGCATGTCTCCCCGGGCGGCTCGCTCATGATTGCTGACCAGCAGAGGAAGACAAAATAGACCGCCATGACTCCAGTACTCAGAAGCCCCGTGGATTCCACCTGCAGGTGAACAGGTGAGGACAGACGGGGGTAGGGAGCACAAGTGTGCGGCGCAGATGAGGGTGCGGGTGGGCAAGGGTGAGGGAGGAGAAGGGTGAGAGCGAGCAAGAGAGAGGGCGAATAAGGGTGAGGAGGAGTACGAGGAAATGTGAAGAGGCAAGCCAAGAGGGAGTTATACTCACAGCTGGAAGGAGGCAGACGACGGTGAGGAGGAGAACGAGGAGGAGAAACGAGGAGATGAAGTTTTTTGAGGCGCCTAAAAAATCAAGCCAAGGGGGAGTCATACTTACGGCTGGGAGGAGGCAGACGAGGGTGAGGAGGAGAACGAGAAGAAGCAGCGAGGAGATGAAGAAGAGGTTGAGCGAGCAGGAGAAGGAGGGCACGAAGAAGAAATACATGAGGGCCGCTGCTGCTGCCACTGCCACGTAACACACTCCGGTTACCACTGCCGCCAGCACGTGCCTGAGGGGTAGACAGGTTGGGGGGAGAGAGGGGATTGGGGGGAACAGGAAAGGGGATTAAGGGAGGAAGGCATTAAGAAGAGGTACATGAGCGCTGCTGCTGTCACTGCCTCGTAAGATACTCCAGTTACCACTGCACACGTGCCTGGGTGGTGGGAGGAGAGGTAAAGGAGAGGTTGAGCGAGCAGGAGAAGGAGGGCACGAAGGAGAGATACATGAGGGCCGCTGCTGCTGCCACTACCAGGTAACATGTTCCAGTTACCACCGCTGCCAACACGTGCCTGAGGGGTAGACAGGTTGGGGTCAGTGAGGGGTTTTGTGGGGAGGAAATTGGGGAGCACGTGCGGGGAACAGGTGATGAGGGCACGTAGAAGCGATACATGAGGGCGACTGCTGGCCGCTGCAAGGTAACATGTAGTGGCTACCACTGCCAGGTAACATGTAGTGGCTACCACTGCCAGGTAACATGTAGGTAGTAGTCACCACTGCCAGGTAACATGTAGGTAGTAGTTACCACTGCCAGGTAACATGTAGGTAGTAGTTACAACTGCCAGGTAACATGTAGGTAGTAGTTACCACTGCCAGGTAACATGTAGGTAGTAGTTACCACTGCCAGGTAACATGTAGGTAGTAGTTACCACTGCCAGGTAACATGTAGGTAGTAGTTACCACTGCCAGGTAACATGTAGGTAGTAGTTACAACTGCCAGGTAACATGTAGGTAGTAGTTAGAACTGCCAGGTAACATGTAGGTAGTAGTTACAACTGCCAGGTAACATGTAGGTAGTAGTTACAACTGTCGCCAACACGTGCCTGTGGGGTAAGGTACATGGAGATTGCGGGAACGGGGTAGGAGGGGGTGGAGAAGAGGCAGACAAGCGCAGCTACTGCTGCCACTGCTGCGTAACATGTTCTCGTCACCACTGCTGCCATTCACTGCGTAGAATGATTGCATGATTGCATGATTGCATGATTGCATGATTGCATGATTGCATGATTGCACCAGAGAGCGTGAGGGAAGATGGGCGTGATGGCAGGAGCGTGTAAGGACAGGAGAGTGTGAGCAGCTTGATTCGATTCCGTTTCAACAGAAGCTCACCATTTCTTGTCTGCCTGCCACGTGTCATTCCACACAAAGACGAAGTTCAGCATGCTGACAAGCTGGATAACGACAAAGATCACCGCCCCCACCACAGCCACGTAGCCGTATATTCTCAACACCCCTGCACAGGATGGCAGAGGGGAGAAGGCCGAGGATACGTCCATCATACGGTCCATCATAAGGCCGAGAAGGCAGGTACTATTAGGGTAGTGAGACTCATAGGCAGCGGGGAGAAGGCCGAGGATACGTCCATCATACGGTCCATCATAAGGCCGAGAAGGCAGGTACTATTAGGGTAGTGAGACTCATAGGCAGAGGGGAGAAGGCCGAGGATACGTCCATCATACGGCCTAGGCAGGTACTAATAGGGTAGTGAGACTCATAGGCAGCGGGGAGAAGGCCGATGATGGACTAATAGGGTAGTGAGATGCATTTTGAGGCGCCTCAACATGCACCTCACTACAGAGGGTAGTGAGCACATGTGATTTTCAACTGCGTAACCTACCAGAAGAAATACTCAACCTGGCATACATGAATTTCAACCGCACTGAACCATCAGTTACCGCACTTGACACTTTTTGCTCATTAGTTCAAGGCACCTACCTAAGGGGAGAAAGACCGTCATGCCAAGCAATGCCACCCAGAGCAGCAGCTTGGGCGGCCACCAGCCAGAGTGCCACGTGTCACGGGCCCCGCCGTCCACGCGCGCCCCTGTTGTGGTTGCAGACATGAGCGCGAAGAAGAGAGACATGCCGAGCCCCGTGCACAGGACCACCATGGCTGCTGTGCATGCCTGATCGCCAGGTTGACATGACTTGAAACCTGTGGGAAGGAGGGAAGTAGATGTTGGAAAGTGGATATTTGTTACTTGAGACATGGGGGCGAAGAAGAGCGACATGCCAAGCCCCGTGCACAGGACCACGGTCGCTGCTGTGCACGCCTGGTCACCTGGCTTGCACTCCTTGAAGCCTGTGGGCGGAGGGGGATGATATTTTATAGCAAATATTCGCCACTTTAGACAGGAGGGCGAAGAAGGAAGACATTCCCAGCCCCGTGCACAGAACCACCGTGGTTCTGCACGCGAGGTCGCCCGGCTGACATTCTTTGAAGCCTGAGGGCGGAGGGGTAGATACTGTTTAGTAGATCTACTTCTGATATAAGGTCGAAGAAGAGCGACATGCCCAACTCCGTGCATAGGACCGCTGTGACTTCTGAGTCGACTCAAAAGTCAGTTTTTGAGTCGACTCAAAAGTCAGCTCGTTTGTAGATCTACTTCTGATATAAGGTCTACGAAGGGCGACATGCCCAACTCCGCGCATAGGACCACTGTGGCTGCTGTGCACGCTAGGTCCCCCGGCTAGCACTTCTTGAAGCCTGTGGTCGGGCGAGAGGGGATAACTGTGTAGTCAATATTTACATTGGACATGAGGGCGAAGAAGAGCGACATGTTAAGCCCCGTGCAGAGGACCGCTGTGGCTGCTGTGCACGCCTGGTCGCCCGGCTAGCACTTCTTGAAGCCTCTGGCCGTGCTACTCACTGGGTAGATGCATGAGGGCGGTGTGGCCGAAGTTTCGTAAGCACCACATGGGGTCTGACTCGCTATCACACGAAGCATTATACATCTCATCCGCGGACTACTCACTGGGTAGATGCATGAGGGCGGTGTGGCCGAATTCGCGCAAGCACCACGTGAGGACGAGCGCGAGGAGGAAGAGGAGGCCGTAGATGTACTTGGCGATCCGTCGCGACGTGCCCAAAGAGCACGCTGCGACGTGCCCACTTTTGATTCGACTCAAAAGTCACCTCCCGATGAGGAAGAGGAGCCCGTAGATGTACTTGGCGACGCGCCGCGACGTGCCCACTGGGCAGTGCATGTCTCTCTGTGAGAGATCACGCCGCAACTTGAAGCACACGTAGCAAGCTCACGAGCCTGCTCGCTGCTTCACGAATGAGCAGGGCATGAGGACTGACTCGTTCTAGCACGAATCGCTATGGAAGACAGCACCACATTGCTCACTGGGTAAGTGCATGAGGGCGGTGTGGCCGAAGTCCCGCAAGCACCACATGAGGACGAGCGCGAGGAGGAAGAGGAGCCCGTAGATGTACTTGGCCACGCGCCGCGACGTCCCCAGAGAGCACACCGCGCAGCAGCATGCGCCGAGCGACTCGCAGCATTGCGCGCAGCAGCACGCGCAGAACATCCTCTCGTGGCAACGGCTGCAGCCGCACGAGTTAATGAAAGTTGGAGCGAATTGAGGTGCAAAAGGAAATGAGATTTAAGACGGGCTGAGTTTTAGAAGCCTGGAGATTGCGAGCGAGCACTGGAGCGATTTAGAGCACACAGAGAAGAAGAATGTGCAACACTGAAAAGAATGTCTTATCGACTGGATTCCTTCTAAATACCTTCCGATTCTATGCGCGCTCAATGTTGCAAGATGATTGTAAGTTACGAAATGCACCACCTTAGCGAGCGGAGAAGAAAGCGAAAGTACTCGAAGGGCACGTCTTATCGACTTCGTTTCCTGCTAGTGCTACATCTGACAATGAACCGTCAGCCTCTTCCCTGTGTTTATGCACCATGGCTGATAATTGTCACTGATTCGATCATCGGGATTCTTGTTCTCGGCTTGGTTCATCGTCCTGCATAAGAGAAGCTGGTGAGCGTCAGTGTGCATCTTCAAACCGCATCAAGCCATTCTGTAGCGTGTCTTCACGGAGATGACCATTCTGAACCGTCTAAAACCACAGCAGGATGTCGGACCTGGTTTTCTTCACTCTGCTTTCAGCAGCCCCACCCAATTTGGTTGATGCGGAACCGTCCCCGACCTTCCTCGGAGTTTGGGGAGAGGTTTGCTGGAGAATTCAGAATTTTGGTCCGCGCGAATGCACATGTTCCCCCGCGTCAACGCGGAAAGCAGGGCGCAAGCAATTTCCGAACTTTGCGCACGACATTTGAAACCTGCGAGGATGTCCTCAAACAGTATGCGCGGTTCGAACAAAAGCAAGCCTGACAATTATTGGTGTCGCTTTCAAAGGTGCACCTAGATGATTACAATATACACTTCTCGCACAATGTGAAACTATACTTCCATGAGGACGAAATCTCTCCCTACCACGTCTTGCCTGTAGAGGTGTTACGGGTGCAATGAATCGAAGTAGCGAGAATTGCACTAAGGTGTCAAACGAGTACAAAATGTGAGCGAAGGCATGAGCGAACATTTATACGCGAAACATGCAAACGGTAACGCGGTGCGTGCGAGCTAGCTAGTGCTACGCTGGAGCGAGGCTTGGGCTAGTCCCGAAGCGTAGGCCGACACGGCCATGCCAGCAGTGCGAGGTTTGGTGAAAACAGTGTGCGCGAAGTCGGCGAAGCCCCGTTAGCAGTAACGGGCGAACAACGGCTGTTGCTGTACGCGATGTAGTCGGGCTCCGTAAGGAATGCCGAGAAAATTCTTTACACTACTCCCCCCCCCTCAAGAAGCCCCCTCCGCTACGCGAGTGCGTGTATATCGCGGAATCCCCGGCTCCTCAGGTACACTTGCAGGGCAGGGTGGTTTTCGATGTTGGCCAGGGGCACCCAGCTGTCCTCAGTTGGCGTGCGATCCTTCCAGCGGACGAGGAATTCAATCCTCTTGAGTCCCGTGGGGTGTCGAATCCGATGGCTCAGGATTTTTTCGGGCTCGATGATCGGCTCCGATGCAGGGCGAGTCATGGATGGCGGGCGGTGGCGAGGCAGTTGGCTTGTGGTTGGGATGTAGGGGCAAAGCAAGCTGACATGGAACGAAGGGCTGATGTACCAGTCGGTCGGTAACAGTAGGTGCGCGGTTACTGGCGTGATCATGTGGCTGATTTGGAATGGGCCACAGTAGCGCGGTCGAAGTTTTGGTACGTCGGGCAGTCGCAGATTTTGCGTGTCGAGCAGTACGTAATCCCCTGACTTGTATGTGACTGGGCGGCGGTGGCGGTCAGCGTTGCGCTTAGCGATGGCGTTTGCTTTTTTAATTGCTTCTGCGGCTCTGGTGCGGGCAGCTTGCAGAATTTCAGCGAATTGCTGTGCTCGTGGTGTTGGGTTGTCCGGACTCGGCGTCATGGGCACTGTAGGATTTTGCCCGTAGTTCAGGTAGAAGGGGGACTGCTGCGTCGTCGCTGACGTGGCATTATTGTACGCGAACTCGATCAGCGGCAGCTGCTGCTCCCAAGTCGTGGGGTCGTCGCACGTGGCACGAATCAACTGCTCCATCGTCTGATTCGTCCGCTCCGTTTGACCGTCGGTCTCGGGGTGGTACGACGAACTGAACTGCAGCCTGGTTCCGAACTGCTCCCAGAGGTTCTTCCAGAAGTTGCTGGTGAACTTCGTGTCCCTGTCGCTGATAATCGCTGCTGGTATCCCGTGCAGGCGAACAACGGCTGCGATGAACAGACGAGCGGTCTCCTCGGCTGAGATCGACTTTTTGCACGCAGCGAAGTGTGCCATCTTCGTCAACCTGTCAACGACGACCATCACCGCGTCGTTACCCCCAGGGTTCGAAGGTAACCCTGTGACGAAGTCCATGGTAACCTGCTGCCAGGCGCGCTCGGGCGGTGGTATCGGCTGCAATTGACCCGCCTTCCGCTTCCTTGAGCTCTTCATCACCTGACACGTGGGGCACGAGCCCACGTGCTGCTGTACGTCGGTCAACAGCTCTGGCCAGTAGTAATACCGCTGCAGTTGCTGTCGCGTTTTTTCTACCCCGAAATGTCCCGAAGTAATTCCGTCGTGTGCCTCCTGCAGTAGTAGCTCCCTCAGTAGTGAGTACGCGGGTACCCAGATGCAGTTGGTGCCTGTTTTTACGTAATAAACTCCTTTGGCTTCTGCCAGTTGCTGTGAATTTCCGGTCGTGAAGAATGGGTCAGTGCGGTATCCGTGGGTAAATAGGCCTGTTAAAAGTGGGTTGGTCTGGGTGAGTAGGATGGCGTGGAGTTGGGCGGTAGGGCGGGTGAGTGCGTCGGCGATGTTGGATGCTCCTTTCTTGTACGTAACCGTGTAGTGGAAGTTGGACTCGAGGTAGTCCAACCAGCGAATCTGTCGTGGATTGAGATTCGGTTGGGCGCGTAAGTACTGTAGTGATCGGTGGTCTGTCCGTACTGTCACGTCGGCGCCAGTCAGGTAACACCGCCAAACCTTGAACGCGTGCACGATCGCCAACATTTCGCGGTCGTGTATCGGGTAATTGTGTTCGGGCGGGTGCAGCTTGCGGGACTCGTACGCGATTGGCTGGAGGCCGTTCCCGAAATCCTGCAACAGTACTGCTCCCAAAGCGATGTCACTTGCGTCAGTGACGAGCTCGAACGGACGGTGTGGATCTGCGATGTGAAGCACGGGCGGTGAGCACAAAATGTTTTTTAGGGCCGAGAAGGCAGCTTGCTCTTTCTCCCCCCACGTGTACTCAACCCCCTTCCTCAGCAGGTCAGTCAACGGGGCAGTCAGCTTCGCCATGTCGGGGACGAACCGGCGCACGTAGTTGACGAACCCCAAAAAACTCTGCAACTCGGTCAAGTTGGTCGGCGCGTGCCATGCTTGAATCGTCGCAATTTTCTTCGGGTCTATTTCCACTCCTGCAGCGGAAATAACGTGTCCCAAAAATTCCAGGCGGTCCTGTAAAAACTCACACTTAGACGCTTTGGTCAGTAGGCGGTTCTCACTCAGGATTTTAAAAACTGCGTCGATGTCCTGTAAGTGTTGTGCTCTGTCAGGGCTATAAATCAGTATGTCGTCCAGGTATACTATGACGCACTTATCTAAGAGCGAGCGGAAAGCTTCGTTCATGGTCATTTGAAAGGTG